GAATCTTCTTAGCTTAAGGAATATATCCGTATTTTTTTTCATCTCAGAAGAACTAAATGTTTGTTGCTAAGACCTAATCAGCTACACAATGCAATATTCAAATGTCATATCATGAAAATTTTATATGATAATTTGCTTTATACGTGAACTCTCAGCTTATATAAATAATGTTTGTCTGGATGTAATCTCATATGGGAAGCTATATTGCAATATATATTATTCTTATTGCAATGAATTTCTTTGATTCTTGTCAGAGTCAGGAGTCTAGGAGTAGTTTCCTAATGGTAAACTTCCGCTGCTTACCATTTCCTTTTCAGCATGATATTTTGTTTGCTCGATGGGTGGCAAAGCATTTCATGTTGCTTTGGAGTGCACACTTCAGAGTTCTGTCACACCCTAAAGTAGGATCAAGTGAAACTATTCCATTTTATGCTTGCACTCTCTTTGCATCTTTACTAATTTTCTCCATTCATCATACTCACAGATTCATAAGCCTTTTTGACATACTCTTTAATTTTTCTATGACAAATTATGCAGGTTAGCAGATGTTTACATGCACGATGATCCAAATCCTCTGATGGCACTTTTCACTAAAAACTTGTGAATGTGGGAATTAGAGCACTTTCTCCTGCTTGTCTGCATCACTATATTCACCATTAAGAAAAGGTAACAACCTTAACTTGCTATTTTGCGTTCTCTGCATGAGAATGACCTAAGAAGTACCATGGTGCCAGCAGCACTTGGAAGTGATTCCCTAATGCAATTTATATGGGTCTATGTGTGAATCAGAGAGCCATTTGTTCATCTTTGCATACCAAAACTGAAAGGTAAGAAGCTATAACCATTAGTAACACTAGGAGTAGTACTACTTGATATGTCACGGCAGTATAAGCCTTATAATATCTGGAACTGTGATCCAACATAGGTGCCTTCTTTCCAACAATTCAGCATGGTACATATGCATACCATACAGTGCATGTATGGATTCTTTTTGCTAATAAATCTAGGCAGCTTACTTGAACTAGTGCTCACTTGGGTATTCAATGAAATGATAATAATAATTGGTGGTGAGCTGTTTAGTGTGGCATCAATGTCACAAAGGATATACAAAACAGAGTAAGAACCAAGATGATCCACCTAAGACACCATGATATCACACATGCCGTTTTCAGCATCATGTTTTACATATAGCATGGATGCCTCCTAAGTTTCCTGCTACTAATTAGTACTTCTTCCATTCCAAATTATAAGGCGTTTTGGCTTTTCTAGATTCATAAATTTTGCTATGCACTTAGATATATATTATGTCTAGATACATAGCAAAAGCTATGAATGTAGAAATGCCAAAACGTCTTATAATTTGGGATGAAGTACTAGTTAGATTTCATGATCTCTGTTTCCCTTGTTCTGCTAGAGGTTCAGTGTAACGCTAAGGCTGGTGTCGTATTAGAATATGTGCATGTTCTATTACAAGAAAAATGCCTTGCTTTAGATCAAGTTCTGTGAAGTGCAAATGTTTGATCATAATTGCAAACAATTGAGGCTTTTATGGTTCACTCACTTCATTATGTAAGATAGAGAGGTTTTGCATGTACATATTCATTATCAATAATTAATCTAATTCTATGCTAGATAAAATATAATGGAAGTCTTATCTGGCCACACATAACAATATCTATGACTAGGCTAGTTTGGCACTTAAATATTTGAGGTTTCTATGGCTCCCTAGCTTTTTCAGCACAAGCAGATCAAATTAGCAATGGAAAAAAAATTAAAGAAATACAAGCTAATATTTTCTTAGCTTTTATTGACTATTGAATTTGTCTCTGAGATAGGCAATCAATTACTTCATGAATTTTATACATGTATCTTATATTGCAGGTGTTTTAAGAAGCGACTGTCATAGTGCTTGTGTACTTAATTGACGTGTTAACAAGTCGGGTCTGGGTGCTATGCAAATGAAGGTCAATGTTAGCAGCATCCCAAGTGTTTGCTGAATGGGGACATATAATATAATCAGATAGGAAAATATACATGATAACAGGCCATCATCCAGAAAAGTTGTGTTGCATTGCTGCATTCTACAAATGACATCCAAAGCTCTCAATGATGCAGATTTCAGTTCATCAGAATGAAAGACTTGGATGTCTGTGCGTCATCATTGCAGTTCTACAAAAACAAATGGATGTCTGTGCATCATCTTTGTAACTATGATAACGAACGAAATGGTACTATTTGTGATTAGCATCATGTACTATTGTAAAATATTACGAGAACATTGTCTCCTGGGACCGATTCACAATTCTTAGTAAAATTAAAATAATATTTATAGTTTAGATAATGAAATATCATTGTTGAGAAGTAATTCATCACAAGGAACCTAGTGTAGAAAGAAATTAATGGCCAAATATATGCATCCATGGAGGACTAGCAGAAAAAAATGACCCCATAACCGAATTCTGTCCATGTACGCAAAAAGAAAAAAAAAATCGGCTAGAAACGCACAACGGACAAAAAAAAAACGTCCGACCAAAAAAAAAACAGGTCAGAAACACACAAAGGACAAAAAACAAACAAAAAAAACGGCCAGAAACACAGGCATAAGTAGGCAACAGGCACGAAAAAAAAAATCAACGAGCATCGCTTAGGCTGGCCGCGGGCGATCGTGCGTCATCTGCGGGCGTGGGGATGGCCTCGGGTACTGAATAATAATCAGTACCCTGGGTACTAACTAGCGCAGTCCTATGTATTCTATATTATATATATATATATATATCTCAGATATTCGTTCGGGCTCTGATGAGCCTTTTAAATTTTGCTCCAGATGGATGAACCGGTGCATGTGCTTATTGACCTTGCATTGCTCTAAACTGTTGTACTCCGTAGTTGCTAATAGGATAGGGCCTAGTAATGGAAACTGTGCCTTAAGATTATTTAATGTCTTATAGGAATCCCCTTTGATGGTAATCACCACTGAAATGTAAAACTGTGTTCATTCTTGAGCGCAGTTTGAGTCATTTGATTGCATAACACTGAACTGAAGAACCGAAAAGATTGATCCTTAAAAATATTTGTTATGGTTGTTGCCTTATTGGTCACTTGACTCAATGCAAAGAAAGCAGTGGAAAACTCATGGCATTTGTAGGAATTGTATTGTATGCAAATCATTTTGCTAGTCTAGTGTTCAGCTGGCTGTTTTCTGGATACAGTGATACACTGATATAGATACATGTGTATTCATTTTCTTGCTAAAGAATTTGGTAGATTCTTGTGTATCTAGCCTTTTTAGTCTGCTACTGCACAGCCCACTGAGTAGATCTAACTTTGGTTTTATGTTTTTTTCTAGTGCTGGTTGAGTGTTTTTTTTTATCGAATTAGTGGCCAACAGATTGCTTTAGTTATGAGATGTAATGCATTAGTAACATCCGAGTCTCATTGTTTATATATTTCAGTTGCTACTCTATGTATTTACCTTTTTTACTACAATCTGTCACTTCTTTGTCTACCTCACCCTGTATTCGTGACTACTGTCAATGTGTTTAAAGAAGGGAGTAATGGTAGTTTTCTTGATCTATAAGGTTCTTAATGTTTGTGCCCACTCAAACTAAGTAAGCATTATGATTTGATACGAAGGGTGTACTTGCAAGGTTAATTTTGATGTGCTAAGATACAACCATGATTAATCAATGCAGCAGTGAGACATCCATTTGTTTTAGCACAAACTAATTGTGGGTACAGATATTTTTCTTTGAACAAATAGAAATCTTGCATTTGAATCGGAAACTAGCCTCAAACTGCAAGTGTTCTTATACGTTGTTTCTTGCATGTTTATGTGGACTTGTGTCCTCTGTAGTTGTACTAGTTATGTTTTCGCTTCTTAATCATTAGTGCATTTTCAAATTGATCAACGGGTTTACTGTGCTGGTTTCATGCCTGATTGACAGGCAGCTGCCAACTCCAGCGCTCTTTTCTTGACAGCGGCTGCACAGAACCTGTTGTGTCTGAAGTTAGCAGAGGAGATTGGCGTTAATATCACAAACCAATGGATTACTTGGTTCCAGGCTGCTTGCGTGCCAGCACTTCTTGGGCTTTTAGTGACTCCTTATTTGATTTACAAAATATCCCCCCTGAAATAAAGGACACTCCTGAAGCCCAAGCATTAGCTGCCGAGAAACTAAAGAACATGGGTCGAGTAACAAAAAAATGAATGGATCATGATTGCAACAATGCTTCTTGCAGTCTCACTATGGATTTTTGGGTAAGATTTTTCTTTTTAAAGAGGATTTTCCCCTTGAATTGACTTGCAATCTGAAGCTAAACTTTCAGACTTTCAGTAACTGAATTTTGTATTTAGTTTCACTGTTTACACTGTTCTTGGAATCACGCAAGTATATATACACACAGCACAAGAGCACAAGTATCTTTCTTGACTGGTGCTTGCTGTAGTTGTCATTGTGACAATGTTCACATCACAGAGCACTGAGCAGCATTGTTCTGTGTGTTTTCCCCTGAAAAGTTCCTTTATTAGTCTGTGGTTCCACTCATGGTTGTGGAGACAGCTAAAATATTCTTTTTTTCTTTATGGCCAAGAGTCAATATGGTTATTCAGTTTTCCTTTTTTTTTATTGATGAGGAACAAAAAAAAGGCTTATCCTGTTTCTAATATTGCAGGCAAACTATTGGCGTATCCAGCGTTGCTGCTGCAATGATTGGACTCAATACTTCTTCTGCTTGGAGTGCTGAACTGGGAGGATTGTTTGAATGAGAAGTCTGCATGGGACACCCTAGCTTGGTTTGCTATTTTAGTTGGTTTGGCTGGGCAGCTTACTACCCTCGGGATTGTGTCCTGGATATCTAATTGTGTTGCCAAGGTTCTTCGATCTTTCTCATTGAGCTGGCCTGCAGCATTTGGTTTTCTTCAGGCCTCATACTTCTTTATTCACTATATATTTGCAAGCCAAACTGCACATGTTGGAGCTTTATACTCGGCATTTCTTGCCATGCATTTAGCAGCTGGTGTGCCAGCTCTAATGTCGGCACTTGCTTTGGCATATAATGCAAACCTCTTTGGATCACTGACACACTATAGTAGCGGGCAATCTGCAGTATACTATGGAAGTAATTGTGCTTTTCCACCGCTTCTGTTGAATAGCACATATTTTCCAAGTTTGCTTGCAATCCACCACGTTGGATTGGTACATTCCATACTTGTTTCGAGCCTGGTTTTCAATACCATTTTATAGAGCAGTTAATTAACTGATTAGCTTCTACAGTTCTACTGGTATTGCAATGTGTAGAACAGATTTTGATGCACCATCTTTTCTGTTCTTTTTGTCGATTCAATTTACTAATAGATCCTTTTTCTAGCATCAATTTCTATTTCGCTAGGTATGACAGTGTATTTGATCATGTAAAGTACCTTCAGATTTGTGCACACAACAAAATGATAATTCAAGTGGAGCCTTATAATGAAATGAAAGCACAAGCTGCTAGCTGCGCATAGACATATGAAGAAAATTCTTTGCTTGTTTTATTAGTTAGGTCATCCTTATATTATAAGGGCTTTAATAAATAAAGCTTTAATATTTGTTCTCTGCTGAATAACCTGATGTTTTCCTTGTGCAGCGGGGTATGTTGGCCTTCCAGATGTATTCAAGCTGGGTTTTATAACAGCCGTAATCAATGCTGTAATTTGGGGAGCTGCTGGTGCATTATGGTGGAAACTGTTGGGTCTTTATTGAGATGAGTCTTGGGGCAGTGTAAGTACGTGAAAATCGTATCATATCGTTTTTCCTTCTGAGGTGCCTATGAATGCATAATAACCGAGGAACGCTCGTCTTTAGAAGTTTTTGAGCATTATCAATCTAGACTAGAAAGCAGATGAGTTTTCGTAGGTTGTGAAGACCGGCTTATATATCCTTTATTGATTTGATTGATGTAGCATCATATCTCCTCCCCACAAGGGAAATAAAAAGCATGAGTGACTTTTGAATTTTGATGACCCAAATCTTGTCTTATATTAAATCCATGATGATGAAGATTAAGTGCATGAATGAATATTGATTGATGCGTTAAATCTTGTGTTTTGAGGCCGCGATCGACAGCCTGCTTCCCCAAGCCTGCGTGTACGCATGAACAGAGCCGTAGTTGCCTGGCTGTATACATCAACTCTGTCTGCCCGTTTGTTTGAGCCACAGCCACTGGTCGCGTTGGTTATTAACCAACCTTGTGCTTGTACGCTAGCTAGACTTGTATACAAGCTACAAACAAACAAATGATTGCAAAGCTGCGTGCGATTGGACGGTAAATTGAAGAGTCCAGGTGGAGGAGAGCAATGCGGCGAGGCAAAGGCGGCCGGCGATGGCAAATGGCAGCGACTGGACTACTCCTATCCTAAAAGAGAAAGGAGTACGTACTAGACTTGGCACATCCGCCCATGTGCACACGCGGGCTTGGCCAGTGGCCGGTGATGGACTGATGGCGGGCGTCGTCACCACGCGGGCTTGGCGCTCGGGGAAGGGAAGCGAGCGTCGTCTTCTTCCGTTCCGCCCTCGCCGGTGGCCGCGTCCCGTCCACCCCGGCCGGGTTGCCACCCACTTGCACTTGCCACTTGCCAGGAAGGAACAAGGAACCCAACCAGCCTGTTCGCTTGCTCGTAAACGATCGTAAATTTCCAGCCGGGAACAGTGTTTTTCTCTCACACCAAACCAGCCAGTAGTAAATAATCCACGATACGATACGGCCTCCCGAACAGGCTGCAAGCAATCGGCCTCGGCCTCGGCCTCAGCACTGGGCAGGCAGACAGACCGCCAAAGCAGAGCAGAGAGAGCAGAGAGAGAGAGGCGACTGCTGGCGAGCCCACGCGGCAGGCGGCCGCATGGGTCGCCGTTCGGTCGGTGTCGTGTCGGTCTCCCTGGTCCCTGCCACGCCCGCCTCGACCTCCATCTTTCTTTCCCGGGCCTTGTTTACGTCACCTCCAAATTCCAAGTTTTTTCACTTTCTTTCCATCACATCAATTTTTAGACGTATGCATGGAACATTAAATGTAGGTAAAAAAAATAACTAATTACACAGTTTGGTTGTAAATCACGAGACGAATCTTTTGAGCCTAGTTAGTCCATGATCGGACAAAGTTTGTCAAATACAAACGAAACGTGCTACAGCATCCAGATTAAAAAATTTGCAATATAAACCAGGCCCCGGTGCCGGCGCGCCCGACCTGACGGCCTGTCCTCATCTGCTCTGCTCCTCTTCTGCAGACTGCACCGGTGGTGGATCCATATACTGTACGGTAACTTTATGGCGTGATTGGTTGCTCCGCTCGCACCGTCCGAAGGTTCATCCGGTATCACTGGATGCATTGCGGCCGTATTTGTTTTTCCTGTTCATATCTTTTGCCTGCATTATTTCGTTCATCTGGCCTCCTCTATCTCGCACGTCTCCATCTTCTCAATTTTCACTTCCCTCTCCATTCAGGACGGCTTGATTCACGCATAGTGTAGGGGCCCATATATCAGACACCCAAAACTTTGATACATGCATGCAACTAAACATGATCTCATCTTGTACTGAACCAATAACAAAGACAATCAAACATGACCACTTGCACGAGCTCGACCCTGCTTCTTTGGTCCTGCACAGCCTAGCCATCCTGGCTTGAGGCTTGCTCTGCAACCAATCATGCCCTTATTATACTGTAAAACCCACTGCATCCTGCTGCTTCAAGGTCAAAACAAGGGTGACCGATCTCATCACGACATCACCCTTGGAGTCGCCGTCCTTACCTGAGTGCACCGAGTGCGAGAGACTGAGGGGGTGTTTGGTAATTTAGTTGCTCCTAAAATTCATGTCACATTGAATGTTTAGATACTAATAAGGAGTATTAAATATAGATTAATTATAAAACCAATTACATAGATGGAGACTAATTTGCGATACGAATTTTTTAAGCATAATTAATCCGTCATTAGCACATGTTTACTGTAGCACCACGTTGTCAAATCATGGACTAATTAGGCTTAAAAGATTTGTCTTGCAAATTAGTCGCAAGTTGTGCAATTAGTTTCGTAATTAGTCTATATTTAATACTCCATGCATGTGTCAAACATTCGATGTGACATGAATTTTAAGAGATCCTATAGAAACCAAACAGGCCCTGACTACTACTCTCTTGGTTTTACTGTTGATCTCCACCAAGTTAGCATAACGGTCAATTTGGGTCTTTGATCCGCGCTCTGATCGGGGGGGCGCCCAACCCAATCATGGTTAGTGGGCCCCTGTCGCACAGTGCTATAATGAGAAAGGTGGGACCGAAGCACTAAGTACGAGGTTCACCGTAGCCACCATAAAACCCCACCTACATTCCTAACCCTAATCCGATCTAAGAGGGAAGCGCTGAAGCGACGGGAAGCACCGCCACCGTCCTCCTCGACTCGCCGTCGCCCGCGCCGCCACTCTTCGGACCTCACCGCGTCGTCACCGACCCGGGCTGCACCGACATCGTTGCCATGGCGAGCCCCTCAGCCAAGCCCACTGATGGTCAACTACCTCTACACCCCTCGCTCTCTCCCTAGTTTCTCTCTCTAGTTCATGTTCTAGGTCGGATCTAGGCTTGTTTATCCTAAATTGAAAAAGACTCACCCACTAGATCTACTCCTAGACGATCCTAAGAATCAACATTGGTATCAGTCGCCTACTAGATGGTAGATCTAGATTGGGGTAGTTTGTTTTTCAGCAAGTAGAAGAAGATGGATCGATTGGTTCGAATCGAGCAGAAACAGTCAAACCCTAACCCTAAAGTAAGAGAGAAGGATGGAGAGGAAAGGACCTACCTGGGTTTTTTTCCCGTCGTCGCGCGGGAAGAAAGGGCAGAGCCGTCGGCTCACCGGCGCTCTGCCGCGCCGTGTGCACGAGCACAGGGCTCCAAAGGCCACCACCGTTGTGCCACACGACGGCGACGCGCGCGGCTCCGGCCGCACGCGTGCACCGGCGAGAGGTGCCGTAGCGGCACCGCCGTCACTCCGTCGTGGCGCTCTGAGCGAAAGGGGAGGAGAGAAAATGGAGTAGGGTTTCGGGGGAGGCAGACGACCATGGTTTTGATCAGCCGATATGAACGGAGGACAGTCCGATGGCGATTGACGACCGGTAGTTTTCGGGCCGCCTTTCGGCCCAGGCGGGACGGCGCTTTCCCAACCCAGGCCCAGGTTGCGGCCTGGGCGCGGGGAGCACGACGTGCGGGGAGGGCTTTTGGGCCGTTGTGGGCTTTCGGGCCAAATGCACAGTGCTATTTTTCATTTTATTTTTTTCAGAAGCGATTTTTGATGAACTATGTTAAGTTTTGACGTTTAAATCTCTGCTCAAATTTGAACCAAATGGATGATTTGTTCAGAGAGTAGTTAAGTACATGGAAATGCTTATGATAATATCATTTTAAGATTATTTTTTCGTGTTTCCGGTGCAAAGTTGATGTTTATTATCTTCTAATTAAATTTGAACCAGCAGGAGAATTTAATTTTAAACAGTAGTTATAGTATTCAGTAAATTATGATATTATTATTTTCTGACCAACGTTGATAATAGCAATATTATAATTTTTTTATTCATGAGTTTTTCCATGCATTAGTTCTATTTCTGTCCAACGGTGATGTAGAATTAATGTAGAAGCATATTGTATGTTTTTATTTTAACCAACGTTGAATTACGACATGCAATTATTATTTCAACTGTTTCTCACTTTCTTTGACGTTGTTTTAGGCTACAACCCAATAACATTTATCTCGTCCATTCCGCCTCTCAATTATAATGTATGGTGAGAGAAGCTTGAGATAGCATTTGCGCTATCCGACAATGATCTAGCACTTATCTCTCCGTGTCCTACTGAGCCAGTGGACCTGTTGAGGAAAGCAAATGAGACTGATGCAACTTTCGCTACTCGACAGCGTGACCATGCAGAAGTGAGAATGAAGTATGATCTTAATCGTGCGAAGTGGGATAGTTTAAACCGTAAGTGTTTGATGATGATTAAGGGCTCCATTAAGGATCCAATAAGGGGTTCAATCCTAGAATGTACCACCGCCACTGAGTATCTCAAGAAGGTGGAGAGTCAGTTCACTAGCTCTTCAAAGGTTTATGCAAGCACTCTTATTAAGAAGTTAGTCAATGAGAAATACTTTGGTGAAGTGATTAGAGAGCACATATTGAAGATGAGCAACATGGCATCCAAGCTCAAGCCAATGGACTTGGGGCTCAAGGATGAGTTCCAAATTCATTTGGTTTTTGCATTTTTGCCCAAAGAGTATGAGACTTTTGTTGTTAATTACAACTTACAACTAGATAAGTGGGACATTGAGAAGCTCATTGCCATGTGTGTGCAAGAAGAGGAGAGGTTTAAGAGCTCACATGGTGACTTTGTCAACCATGTGAAGGAAAATAAAAAGAAGAATTTTAACAACAAGAATGCTAAACCACAAGGGAAACCTCAGTGGGACAATAGCTCCTCTTCTAAGTCACAAGGAAAGGCCCCTCGGAAAGATCACCATCAGAAATCCAACTATGTTCAAGTGGATAAGGACACCTACAGATGGTGCCACAAGACTGGACACTACCAGAAAGATTGTCTAGAGTTCTTGAAGCACCTGATCAGAAAAAGGTGAGGAAATTATTATATCTGTAGATGAGTCCTTGTATTTAAGTATACAAAATTTACTTTGTGAATTGATTCAGGTTCAACTATTCATGTTGT